AAGGCTCGCGTCAAAACCTCTGCCGAGGAAGACACCTATGACCGACCGGTGCATCCGAACGCAACGTCAGAGATCGAATTCGAGAGGAACGCGGGCGAAGGAAGGATCCCTGGTAAGTTCATTTTCCCGAGTCGTCTCGCGGGGAAGGTTTTCATGTTAGGTGGCTCATGCAATACTGTGATCGCTCTTAGCAAATGAGATGGAGGGTGCCCAGACAGTTTCTTCCGGGGTTTACGGTGCTCCAAGGAACTCATGAGGATCAAAGACTCATCTAAATTCAATTGTCAATAAAATACAATTTGCATATTCCTTCTTTGTGATTCGCGTCTTTCTGTGATAACCGTGCAGGCCTCGCTTCCGGATTGCCAGAAAGGAACCGGTTTAACGACACTGTGATTTTGGCCAATCACGAGGAAAAGAGAGACTCTCTTCGTTACAACCATCATACAAATTACTGTGATCAAACGGCTTTGTAGGCTGTGGTGTAATGGTTAACACATTGCTCGGTTACAGCAACGCTGGATGTTCGGCTCGTCCTGGCCAGGTCTAAACTTTGTCCGTATCGTTTTTGAACTTGAAATTCCAACGTATAATAGCCTGTCATGGAGACTAACGTCCCGCCTTCAAGGTTATAATGAGTAAACATTTTGTGTGCTTGCAACAAGAGTGGGCATTTAACCCGTTCTTGCCGAAGTATTGTCCTCAGGTCGCAGGACTTATGTTCTAAAGGTTGACGAGAACACGCGTTGAAATCAAGCTATTCAGCCTTCCTGCTGCCTGCGGAACTCGGCAACCCTTCAATTTGATAAGGTGCTTCGGACTGCTAATCCGAAGCATTTCCTCCGTTGCTCCAAGGTGACAGGTACGGATGTTTAAATCCATGCCTTATCCTTGAAGACTTATAACAAGGAGAAAGGTTTCTGTCTCGAATGGTGTAGTGGTAAACACACTGCCACTGTACGGCAGAGCCGGGCGTTCGACCCGTCCTTGGGGGCGTTCACGATATATTTTTACGGCGTAGCCTTATGGCTTCAATACTTATACATATCATCTTTATTTGAGTTAATGTATCCGGACTACTGTTTGTCTGTTTCAGCGTTCACTATGACGAACTCGCGGCTGCTGCGGCCTACTGGATTTCCCCTGGTTCGCCCACGCGGTTAGTCCAGCTTGACAATTACGGTGTATTCCGAAGGGATGACAAGCTCTTAAGGCTAGTGCCAGAGTTGAAGCATCTGCAAGACGTGCTCTCAGCATCCGTGTAGCGTTCCAAAGATCGTCCGAACATAATATTCACTTACACAACAACAAGACAGGCCCAGCTTTCATGTGATGTAGGTTCAAAGAGGAGGCATTAATGATGTAACGAGTTATTTATCTCCGGTGTACGGTCGAGCCGTCCTGGTCGACGTTGATCCTCATCAACGCTTCTCAGGGCCAGCTAGGATGATTGAGCTATATTCGACAATAAGCTATGCAGAAATTCGAATTCTTGCCGATGATGGTGTAGTGGGTAAACATATTGCGATTTTAGTGCAAAGCCGGGCGTACCACTGTGTCCCACCCGGGAGTGCCTGGCACCCCGGTGATCCGCGCATGGTGGTCGGGCTACCTGGGCGAGGATGCTAGGCGACTCGGGGGGATCCCTGAATTAAGGGTCCCCACGATCTCCCGTAGTAACGCCTAGGCTATTGCAACAAGTCCCCAGGTGAGTTTTGGGGGTCCCGATCGTGCTGGGCCAATCAAAATACTTGCTTCATGCCTAATAGCCAATAGGAGTAGGGGGTTGTTCTTGATATAATTGCCATCGAGGGTATGAACATTATTAAGCAGATTTCTTTTATTTACTCTTTCTCTGTACTATACACCAGTCTACTACTCTATATAATACATAAATTTGTGGGGTGGGTGTCTGTGGTAACCAAGGGGTGCAAGCAACACGGAATGTCGGCAGCCCGGAAAGATGGAAGAAATATCAATAATTTGTATGAGGAACTCAGGCAAACAAGGCAAACAAAATCAGAAGACTTACATGAAGCAGTAGAAGGTGAACTCCTAGAATAGCGAGACAAAAATTAAGTACTTGATAACCGGAGAAGACATAGGGATACTCACATTCACGGAGGATGCTGGCCTGATGGGCTTTGGTGAGCGCAATCTCAAAATGGACTGTTGACATTATCAGAGACTTACAGGAGTAAAGGCAGTGAGATCAAGGATTGAAAGGAGGAGAGAATGAGGTGGAGTATGAATGTTGGATTGAGAAGAGGGTGTCGCGCTTTGATGGTTGTGTGTCGGGGACGGTTGAGGAGCGCAACATTTTGAAACGGTCGGCAGTTCGTGTTTGTCGGGTGTAGAGTTCGGTTTTTGACTTATGAACCCACTGGAAAATGGCGCGCGAGTGTCCGCGTGTGGATAATCAGGGTGGGGGACTCTTGTCACCTCACCGGGGAGATCCTAGCGAGCCTGGGGCCGGGTATGAAAAGACGGGTGACCCGGAGCACACCCCGCGCGCGCGGAACACAGTGCGTTCGACCCGTCCTCATCGGCAGTTAGGGCGAATCATGCCCGATGATAGATCTTTTACAGTATGAAACATAGGGG